TCTTTTTGCTTATGTGGTGCTGAGGAATTGAACCTACGGCCTCATGCATGTGCTCTACCACTGAGCCACCTCCCCAACCTTTTTTTTTTGATGGCTAATCCTGAGGATTGAACTCAGGGCTGGGGCTCTGTCCCTGAGCTACTTTTGCTCAAGGCTAGCACTCTACCTTTTGAGCCACAGCACCACTTCTGTTTTTTTCTGTTTATGTGGTACTGAGGAATTGAACTCAGGGCTTCATGCATACTAGACAAGCACCCTACCACTAAGCCACATTCCCAGCCCCCTTTTTTTCTTTCTTTTTTTTTTTTTAACTGAACAGTTCTATACCCAAAAAGTAAAAAACACCTGTCAATCTTATCCCCTAATCAGATATGAAATCTGTACTTGCATCCTTACTGCCTTAGTTCAGCCCATAGGTAACTCATTTTTGCCATGATCATAAGATTATTAGTGATAGTTACTGACTACAATCTATCTGGAAAGATAGACAGAATTCACCAAGATAGAAGTGAAGGAACAGCTATGTACATGTTTATATTCTAAGCAAAGGGAAAAGCAATATGCAAAGGCAGGGTTCCCTAGGAATTGGTCAATTTGTAACATCTAAGGAGGAACAAGAGATGCCTACAAGGAAAAGGCTGACAAGGAAGCAAGGCTGGGCTAGGCAGAGTCAATGGATGTGGCCTTTCTTCTATATCTGACTCAGTCAGAAAAGGAATTTTAGCACATGGTAGGAAGATCACACCTAGGTTTTAAAACAGTCATTCAGGTGTAGAGCTTGGTATAAAGGCAGAAGATAAGAACTCTACCCATGAATGTTGAAAACCTTGCTATGGAGTAAAAATACACACATATTCAAGTACTGAACAAGTAAGTAAAATGGTAAATTTTAATCACAAAGAAAGGTGTAAGAAGATTCATTGTTGTTAGAAGCGAATCTATGATAGTTACCTGAGGAAAAGATCTAAGTAAGAAAGGGGTCACAAGGGAATACTTTAGTATGTGTAAGACAGAAAAATGCTGAGAAGAGAGGAAAAAGAAAACATTCTGGCTGGGATGAACTTTTTAAACTACTTTGAATCAAATCCCAGTTGAGCATCATAATAACTATAGACACTCATCCTCTTTCGGGTAAATCTATAGAGACAATGAAATGGAGGACAGTCAGCATTATAATAGTATTCCTGGAACTTGATAAACATAAAAGCTGGGCAACAAAATTACAGAAAATATTAAAGGGCAAATAAAAACAAAAATATGAAGGACAAACAAGAATCTACATCACCCTATACTTAAAAAGCCTCTAAAAACCCTACAGCTTAGGGCCCAGTGTCACTGTGAAAGAATCTCTTCCTTCATAGTATAAAGCTTTACTGCTCCATTAGACTCCAGGTCTTAAATGATTGAGGCATGCTTAGAAATGACAGAGTTGGCTCTCAATTTATTAACAGATACAAGCTTGACTCCTTTAGAAGCAAATTGGTTATCTGCAGCCAAAGTACTTCAAGAAAGATATGTAGATAAGACTCTGTCACTCCTGTGATTTTTTTTTTTTGGGGGGGGGGTCTGGTCATGGGCCTGAACTCTGGGCCTGGGCGCTGTCCCTCAGCTCTTCAGCTCAAGGCTAGCACTCTACCACTTGAGCCACAGTGCCACTTCCGGCTTTTTTCTTTTTGCTTATGTGGTGCTGAGGAATTGAACCCAGGGCCTCATGCATGCAAGGCAAGTGCTCTACCACTGAGCCACCTTCCCAGACCCTTTTTTTGTTTTTATTGTCAGGAACTCCCATGGTTTTTCCCAACTCATTACTATTACAACAGAAACACAAACATAGAGAAGGTAAGTTACTATGTGTCCCAGTATGTTAGGCACAGCCAAGATATTAACTGGCTCTATCCTTAAAGCAATCCTATCAGGTAAATATTTGACTATTCTCATTTTATAGATGGCAACACTGAGGTACTGTAGTCAAATATAGTAACCCAACTCAGTCAGGAAGCAATCAGGATTTAAACACAGGCAATCTGATTCTAAACGTAATCAAGGGCAATCCCACCTCTCATTATGAAATATTTCTCTACACATAACATTCCTAGTTGATAATCAAAATAATAAAGTAGGACATAAACTCTGCCTATTTTATTGTAGTAGGTTCAGATATATTTGTGTATACTCATTATTTACAACTGTTAACAAAAAAAACAGTGGTTGGTCAACTCACATGATAACCACAACTACAGAAAAATGCATAAATCAAGAGTCTTTATCTATAAGAATTAGCATTGCTTGGGGGGGGGTGTAGCAGGGAGGATTGGGTAGGGGGGCAGGGGGGGGGAGGATGGGAAGAGGAAACTAAGGAGGAGGCTACAATGCTTGATAAGAAATGTACTCATTATCTTGCCCATATAATTGTAACCCCTCTGTACAGTATTTTTACAATAAAAAATTTTTAAAAATACAAAAAGAAAAGAATTAGCATTGCTTGAAAAGATTTATCATGTCAGAATTTAAGAGACCTGCATTTAAATTCAGTCTGTCACTTAGTAGACAAGCAATCAGCCTATTTAAAAAATTCCTATAATCTCCTACCTTTTCAAAAAATGAAGATAAATGGCCATTAAAAATACCCTACCCACTTTACAGTGAGACTGTGGGTTCAAGTTACATATACTTGTCAAAAGTACTTTTGTAACTTGGTGAAACATAAAATATAAAAATAGTGTTATTGTTATTGGAGGTATAATCAATGTTCAAGTATTAAAGTTATTAATATTTTTACTGGTTTATGACACAGTAAATTCAAGTTGGTATAAAATATAGTAATAGGAATTTATTTTTAAAAACATCTTAGCTGGGGCTGGGAAGGTGGCTCAGTGGTAGAGCGCTTGCCTTGCATGCATGAGGCCCTGGGTTCGATTCCTCAGCACATATGCAGAAAAAGCTGAAGTGGTGCTGTGGCTCAAGTGGTAGAGCGCTAGCCTTGAGCTGAAGAGCTGAGGGACAGTGCCCAGGCCCAGAGTTCAGGCTCCACGACTGGAACCCCCCTCCCCCCAAAAAAATCTTAGCTGGGTGCTGGTGGCTCATGCTTTTAATCCTATCTACTCAGGAGGCTGAGATCTGAGGATCTCAGTTCAAAGCCAGCCTGGGCAGAAAACTCCCTGAGACTCTTATCTCCAATAAACCAGTAGGAAACTGGAAGTGGCCCTGTGGCTCAAGTAGTAGAGCACTTGCCTTGAGCTGAAAAGCACCGGGACAGCGCCCAAGCCCAGAGTTCAAGCCCCACGACCGACAAAAAATAAATAATCTTGTATTCTTGAGTCTTTTTAGGTGACTCAGAAAATCATTTAAATCATTAAAAAGCCAGAAGCAGAGGTGTAACTCAAGTAGAATACTGCCAGCTTTAAATAAAAAGCCAAAGTAGCTCAAGGTCCTGAGTTCAAGCCCCGTTATTAACACATTCAAACACAAAAATCATGTTATAAGTGTATCGGTGTTAGAGAAGCCAGACCTAGGACATAAGTGCACAGTATACACTTGTGCTTGCTGTAGGTTAGCACATTACTAGGTGTTCTTACCAGGTGTCTTCTGAGATAAATGTTGAAAAGTATTTCCAGCCAGGTACTGTGGCTCATCACTGTAATCCTAGCAACTCAAGAGGCTGACATTTGAGGATTAGGTTCCAGCTAAAGTAGTAAAGCCTATGAGACTATGAGCTTAATTTCCAATTAACCACCAAAAAACTAAAAGATGAAAGTGGAGCTGTGGCTCACGTGGTAAAGCACCAGCTTTGTGCATAAAAATTTAGCGATAGTGCACCCAGGTCCTGAGTTCAAAGCCCAGGGCAAGCACACAAAAAAGTATTTTCACATATCTAAAATGTACATACTATTCCCTTGAGATGGAGTCCTGAGGCCTTATTGCCAAGGTTGGTATAAAACCATGATTCTCTGATCTCAGTATCATATAGAGCCAGGATAATGGATGTGTGCTCAACATAAACTGATTTTCTTTATCTTCTTCTTTTTTTGGGGGGGGGGGGGGATTGGTCGTGGGGCTTGAACTCTGGGCTTGGGTGCTGTTCCTCAGCTCTTCAGCTCAAGGCGAGAGCCCTACTGCTTGAGTCACAGCGCCACTTCCTCAACATATTGTATAAGAAGGAGGCTTCATATGTTTTCTCCCAGGTTGCCTGGCCTCAAACCATGATCCTCCCAAACTTTGTATCTCAAGTAGCTAAAATCACACGAGGCATAGATACCCATCTCAAACCCTTTCTTAATTCCTAAATGTGTGTCTTTTGGTGTTGGGGACTGAACCCAAAACTTAAACATGCTAGACAGGCACTCTACAACTGAGCTGTATTTCCAAGCTTTTCAGCAATTTATTCTTTTTCATATATGCTAAGGATTGAACCTATAGCCTTGAGTAGACAAGGCCTATACAAGTGCTCTACCACTGAGCTATAAATCCTGTCCTCTCTCTTCCACACAAATATGCATATATTCATATGCACATATGTAAGTATATATAAATGTGTGTTTGTGTGTGTGTGTGTGTGTGTGTGTGAGTTGGTCCTGGGGCATGAACTCAGGGATTAGGCACTGTCTCTTGAGCTTTTGTGCTCAAGACTAGCATTCTATCACTTGAGCCACAGCTCCACTTCTGGCTTTTTTGATGACAAAGACTCTCATACTTTCCTACCTGAGCTGGCTTCAAAATGTGTCCTCAGATCTCAGACTCCTAAGCATCTAGGATTATAGGTCTGAGGCACCAGCACCCAGCATCAAAATACTTTTAATTAATTTTCAACCTCAAATATAACCCTGGACTTTGGGATTTCCTGCAAGTCCTAAAAGAATTATAACAAGAAAACAATCTAAAAACAAATTCTTATGACTAGGTATTATCCAACTGTATGTGCTGTATTCAACTCCAATCCAATGAGGAATAATTCTTAAAACAATCATATAAAGTCCAATCTTTTGGGCAAAAAAAAGTCTTACATTGATATTTTCTAATTGTAGTAGATGTACTGTATAGTATGACTTCACATCTTCAGACAGGAGCTTCACACTAAATCCAGTTTCTTCAAACAGCATCTCTCGGTCATCTATTGGCCAGTATTGTGCACATTTAACCTAAATTTAAGTACAGTTTGTAGATATTAGATCATAAAAAGGGGAAAACAAACCTCAGCTATACATATTACGTGTTTTCAAGTAAGCAAACCTGAAAACAGTCATCACTCTATCTGATGTACCGGTACACACACAAAAGTCAAATTAACAAATAGTAAACAAAATGAAATGAAGAGAGATAAATAGGATTAAGGTTCTAGATAAGACAAATATAACAAAGAAAACTTAATGTATATACTCAGGAGGGCCCAAAGATGAACACCAAAGCAAGTAATAAAACAGAATAAACACTAACAACCAAGACTTAACGTTTCTTTGTATGTGGTGGTAATGGGACTTGAACTCATGGCTTCACATTCTCATATGGCTTTTTCACTCAAGGCTGGTATTCTACCACACCTCCATTTGAGCCACACCTCAACTTGCTCAACACTTTGCTGGTTGACTGGAGACAAGAATCTCATGGACTTTTCTGCTCAGGCTCGCTTTGAATCTTAGTCCTCAAATCTCAGCTTCATGAGCAGCTAGGATTATATGTATGAGCCACCTGGCACAATGCCTTAATAACTTTAAAAAAGAAAAAGTTTTTGAAATATATATTAAAAGAGAAAATTTATGAAACAAAAGAACGCATAGTGTCAGTTTTTAACACATATGTTATTTTTTAGGCCCTTCCTTTTCTTTTTTTTTTTTTTTTGGGGGGGGGGGGATCCGGTCGTGGGGCCTGAACTCTGGGCCTAAGCGCTGTCCCTCAGCTCTTCAGCTCAAGGCTAGCACTCTACCACTTCTAGCTTTTTTTCTTTTTGCTTATGTGCTACTGAGGAATCGAACCCAGGGCCTCAGGCATGCAAGGCAAGCGCTCTACCACTGAGCCAACTTCCCAGCCCCTTTTTAGGCCCTTCCTATTCATGAGTTCAAACTGCCCGCCATCTCAAGTCAATGAAAAAAATTCAGGAAAAAAAATGCATTTGTATTGAACTTATTTTTCTTGCCACTACTGTACAAACATATGTACCACTTATTTTTCTTATCACTACTTCCTAAGTTTGATTATTATTTACATCATATTCAGTATTAAACTAATTTAGAGATGATTTAAAGTACAAGGGAAAATGTGTATAAGTTCTCTTCAAATAATATGTCATTTATATAACAGACATTGGCCAAGCCTCCTGAAACTAATCTCTCACAGATAAAAAGACAACTATATTTACATGTAGAACTAAGACTTGAGACTACAGTATGTTATATATAGCCTCTGATAATACAGGTAAAGTATAATTAAAAATGGGGGCTGGTGAGGAATTGGGAACTTGGCTCATGTAGATAGAATGCTTGCCTGGCAACACAAGGCTGAGTAACAAACCCCAGTACCACCTAACAAAACCACACACACACACGCACACACACATAATGGGAAAAACATTTTAAAAATGTGGTACGATTGTTTTCTGTGTGATATAAGGCATGATAAATAAAATATTCTCCACCCCTTCATCCCTGATATTTTTGAAAAATCATGATTCATTGATATGATAAAAGAAAGCAGCAGATCTGTTTAACTTGTAAAGTTCCAATCTGAATTGGAAATAATTAGTATGAGCTCTTCAGGTATGTTACACACATATTTTTCTCTAGCTATGTCCACTGAAAACTCCCTAAAAACAATGTGTAAGGTATGCTATATTTGTTTTTGTAGTTCTTTTGAGATACCACTGTTCTTTAGAAGAAACAAGTTCCTTAAAGAAATGGTGGTTCCAGCTGGGCGCTGGTGGCTCACGCCTGTAATCCTAGCTACTCAGGAGGCTGAGATCTGAGGATTGCGGTTCAAAGCCAGCCCGGGCAGGAGAGACCGTGAGACTCCTATCTCCAATAAACCACCAGAAAACCGGAAGTGGCGCTGTAGCTCAAGTGGTAGAGTGCTTGCCTTGCATGCATGAGGCCCTGGGTTCGATTCCTCAGCACATATGCAGAAAAAGCCGCAAGTGGTGCTGTGGCTCAAGTGGTAGAGCACTAGCCTTGAGCTGAAGAGCTGAGGGACAGCACCCAGGCCCAGAGTTCAGGCCCCACGACTGGACCCAAAAAATAAATAAAAAAATAAAAATAAAAATAAAAAAGACACTGTGGCTGGGCGCTGGTGGCTCATGCTTGTAATCCTATCTACTCAGGTGGCCTGAGATCTAAAGATAACAGTTCAAGCCAGAACTCACAGGAAAAGTCTGTGAGACTCTAATCTCCAATAAACTACTCAGGAAGTGGTGCTTTGGCTCAAGTAGCAGAGTGCTAGCCTTGAGTTCAGAGAGGCTTGGGAACAGAGCCCAGACCTTGAGTTCAAGCCCCAGGACCAGCACAAAAAAAAAAAAGGACACTATGGGTCTACTGATGAACAAAATACTATCCATAAAGGACTCCATCCCAAAATAATTAAATTTAAGCCTCTGAATCCATCCATTTCTAAATTCTGGTGGTAGTCTTAGTCCGTTAATAAAGTAATATACTTCAAAGAGAGATGAATAAAATTTACTATCATCTAATTTATAATCCCGTTCAAACTGATATCACCCCTGCTGAATTTCTATGTGAGTTTGAAGACCATGAAAAAACACTATGCATCATTCTGCTGACACTACTGGAAATTCTGACACGCCAATGCTACTTCAGATTCAGAACAGATTGGAAAATTCGCAGCAACACTGAAAACCAGCAACTATGAATTTAAGGGAAAAAATGTTAAGAATCAAGGATCTGAAGAATAGTATAAGACTGTAAAACTGGAGGAAACCTTAGTAAAATATTTTTAATTTGCTTATTTGACAAAAAAGGAGGGCTGGGAAGGTGGCTCAGTGGTAGAGTGCTTGCCTTGCATGCATGAGGCCCTGGGTTCGATTCCTCAGCACCACACAAGCAAAATGAAAAAAGCCGGAAGTGGCGCTGTGGCTCAAGTGGTAGAGCGCTAGCCTTGAACTGAAGAGCTGAGGGATAGTACCCAGGCCCAGAGTTCAAGCCCCATGACCGGACCCAAAAATAAATAAATAAACAAAAACAAAAAAGGAACCTAAACCTACAGAAGGTAACAACCAACAGAACAAAAACAAAATACCAAAAAAAAAAAAAAAACCAACAAGCTAATGCTCACATAAATATGCTAAATTGCAAATATTAAACGCTACTCACGGAGTCTTTCTCCACAATTCGGTTTAGCATGACAACTGCTTTGGTCTTCTGCTGCCAAACCATGAGCCAGAAGTGACAACATGTGTTAGGAAGTGGACCCTGTGAGGAGTAGAGAAAAGAAGCAGATGAGGGAAAGGAGCTAGAAAAGAACATGGCTTGGGGCAAAGCTTTTCCAAGGATGTTCTTGGTATGCACTACTATAGCCAAACAAAACTGGATCTTAGTAAGATAATCCACACCTGAATTCCACTGAACTCAAAAATACAGATTGTAAACAGTCTCAAAATTATAGACCTTTTCAAAAATTAGATAAAAGGGAATTATTTAGGATAATGAATGTAAGTAGATACTAAGAATTAAAGTGCAAGACTCTTGTCTAAAGACATTCAACTTGGGTGATTGGTCCTGTTACTTGTCAGTCTTTGTGACACTACCAAACAAACATAAGCAAAGCAGGGTCAAAGTTATCAATGGGAGCATCTGGTTGGCCATGATTGATGCAGAGGTTATAGCCACTAATCTCCTTCAGTCTTTATAGCAGAAAGAAAGGCCCCCTTTTCACATAGATCATAGAATACTCAGGGAAAAAGAGGACATTTGTGACAGAATTCGTTACCCTGCCAACACAAGTCAACTACACTAACATTTCTAGAAAAAAATCTTGGAAAGTACTAATTTATTAAACTACTAGTCTACAGAAGCACAATATGTGAAGCCTCAATAGCTATTTGGCCAAGTAGACAAATAAACCAGTAGACAATAAACCAGAACCAGTGGTCCTAGCCACTAGTCTTAGCAACTCAGAAGGCTGAGATCTGAGGATCAAGGCTTGAAGCCAGCCTGGGCAGGAGACCAGATTCTAACCCAATTTAGGTTACAGAAGTTGAAAACCATGTTTCCAAGAACTAATTTGTAGAGGGGAGAGGGAGCTAAATTAGAATCTTAAAGACATATAACACTAAGAAGCATTACCAATAAATGATACTGACAAAAAGTGGTAGAAGAAAAGGTTAGAATACGGTGTCTAAATAATCATTTGCTATAATTTGGTACAAAGTATCCCCAAAAGGCTCATATATTAAAAGCTTGGTTGCCAGGTTGCCAACTCATGATGGGCTTTTGAGAAATGATTGGGTCCTGAGGGCTCTGATGTAATCAATGGATTAAACCTTGATGGATTCTAATATGAATTATTATACATTATTAAATATGCATTATTGGGAGATGAGGACTAGATGAGGACTAGCTAGTAGAAGCTGATCTCTGGTAAGATTAATGGAGATGAAAACCTCTGAAACTGTGAGCCAAAATGAAACTTTTCTCTTTTTAAAGGGTTTCTTACATTTCTCAAAACTGACTAAAAATCTAACCACTATTTCTTTCTTTATTTTCAAGTTAAAAGTTGTTTCAAGTAAAAAAGTTAAAACTTGGGGCTGGGAAGGTGGCTCAGTGGTAGAGTGCTTGCCTTGCATGCATGAGGCCCTGGGTTTGATTCCTCAGTACCACATAAACAGAAAAAGCCAGAAGTAATGCTGTGGCTCAGGTGGTAGAGCACTAGCCTTGAGCTGAAGAGCTGAGGGACAACACGCAGGCCCTTTCAGGCCCCACAACCAGCAAAAAAAAAAAAAAGTGTAGCTCTAAATATAGGTTTATTTTTTTAAAAAGACAGAAAAAAATCCCACCAAAATAGTAAACACATATAAGGAAAACATTATCAAATAAAGACTGGAATCAGGAAAATGAAGTTCCTACTTCCAATCTAAATGACCACCATTAATGACATATAATTCATTTAGCCCATTTCAGTCCTATGCATATAAATAAAGCTGTAATAAACATGTGTACATATTTTTATGTTACTGGTATGTCTCCCATACTCTCTCAACTAGGGTATGTGACTACTGAATAGTATATGCTTAATTTTTTTGCTCCATTTTATTTTTTATAGGTTTTGTAATTTTACCATACAAAGGCATTACAGTAGGCCAAAGTTAAAAGATATTGTGATGTTTATAAACTTGTGAAGAGAGAAGGGATATTCTCCTCATGTCAAGAAAATTTAAACTTAAATAACTTCAGTGAGGGGCTGGGAAGGTGGCTCAGTGGTAGAGCATGCCAGAGGCCCTGGGTTTGATTCCTTAGCACCACATAAGCAAAAAGAAAAAAGCCGGAAGTGGTGCTATGGCTCAAGTGGTAAAGCGCTAGCCTTGAGCTGAAGAGCTGAGGGACAGCGGGAGGCGAAGGTAACAACCAACAGAACAAAAACAAAATACCAAAAAAAAAAAAAAAACCAACAAGCTAATGCTCACATAAATATGCTAAATTGCAAATATT